CCTGTTTGCTTCCTATTAGGCTCATACAGGTAGTGGGGTGTAGGTGAGGTGGGTGGTGGGTGTGGGTGAGGTGGGGGTGGGGTGTAGGTGGTACAGGTGGGTGTAGGTGGGTGTGGGTGGGTGGGTACAGGTGGGTGTGGGTGGGTGTGGGTGGGTGCAGGTGGGTGCAGGTTGGGTTGTGGGTGGTACAGGTGGGTGGGTGGTGCAGGTGGGTGTGGAGTGGTTGCAGGTGGTGTGGGTGGTTGGGTGGTGTGGGTGGTGCAGGTGGGTGTGGGTGGTGTGGGGTGGGTGTGGGTGGTGCAGGTGGGTGGGTGGTGGGGGAGGTGTGGGTGGTGGGGAGGGGTGGGTGGTGGGGGAGGGTGTGGGTGGGGTGGGGTGGGTGTAGGTGGTGCAGGTGGGTGTAGGTGGTACAGGTGGGTGTGGGTGGTGGGGGGGGGTGGGTGGTGGGGAAGGTGTGTGGGTGGTGGGGGGTGGGTGGTGCAGGTGGGTGTGGGTGGGTGTGGGGTGGTGCAGGTGGTGCAGGTGGGGTGTGGGTGGTTGCAGGTGGGTGTGGGTGTGCAGGTGGGTGTGGGTGCAGGTGGGTGTGGGTGGTTGGGTGTGGGGTGGTGCAGGTGGGTGGGTGGTTGGGTGGGTGTGGGTGGTGGGGAGGGGTGGGTGGTGGGGAGGGTAGAGGTGGTGGGGGAGGGGGTGGGTGGTGGGGGAGGGTGTGGGTGGTGCAGGTGGGTGTGGGTGGGTGCAGGTGTGTGGGTGGTGCAGGTGGGTGTGGGGTGGTGGAGGAGAGTTGGGTGGTAGAGGAAGGTGTGGAGGTGGTAGAGGTGGGTGAGTGGTGCAGGTGGGTGTGGGTGGGTGTGGGTGCAGGTGGGTGAGGTGTGGGTGGTACAGGTGGGTGTGGGTGGTGCAGGTGGGTGTGGGTGGGTGTGGAGTGTGGGTGTGGGTGGGTGTGGGTGGGGTGCAGGTGTGGGTGGTGGGGGTGGGTGGTGGGGGATGTGGGTGGTGGGGGAGGGGTGGGGTGTGGGGGAGGGGTTGTGGGTGGTGCAGGTGGGTGTGGGTGGTGCAGATTGGATGTGGGTGGTGCAGGTGTGGGTGTTGGTGGAGGGTGGAGGTGGTGGGGAAGGTTTGGGTGAGGAGGTTGAATGGTGTAGGTGGTAGAGGAGGTGGAGGTGGTAGAGGAGGGTGTGGGTGAGTAGAGAGGTGGGTGTAGGTGGTAGAGGAGGTGTAGGTGGTGCAGGTGGGTGTGGGTGTGGGGAGGGTGGGTGGTGCAGGTGGGTGTGGGTGGTGCAAGGTTGGGTGTGGGTGGTGGGTGTGGGTGGTGCAGATGGGTGTGGGTGGTACAGGTGGGTGTGGGTGGTGGGGAGGGTGGGTGGTGGGGGAGGTGTCAGGTGGTGGGGGAGGGTGGGTGGTGGGGAGGGTGTGGGTGGTGCAGGTGGGTGTGTGGGTGGGGTGCAGGTGGGTGTGGGTGGTAGAGGGAGGGGGGTGGGGTGGTGGGGGGAGGGTGTAGGTGGGTACAGGTGGTTGTGGGTGGTGCAGGTGGGTGTGGGTGGAGCAGGTGGTGTGGAGTGGGGTGGGTGGGTGTAGGTGGTGGGTGGGTGTAGGTGGTGCAGGTGGGTGTGGGTGGTGCAAGGGTGGTGTGGGTACAGGTGGGTGTGGGTGTGTGCAGGTGGGTGTGGGTGGTGCAGGTGAGGTGGTGGTGGGTGTGGGTGGTGCAGGGTGGGTGTGGGTGGTGGGGTGGGTGTGGGTGGTCAGGTGGGTGTGGGTGGTTGCAGGTGGGTGTGGGTGGTGGGGTGGGTGTGGGTGGGTGCAGGTGGGTGTGGGTGGTGGGGAGGGGTGGGTGGTGCAGGTGGGTGTGGGTGGTGCAGGTTGGGTGTGGGTGGTGCAGGGTGGGTGTGGGTGCAGAGGTGGGTTAGGTTGGTGCAGGTGGGTGTGGTGGGGTGCAGGTGGGTGTGGGTGGTGGGGTGGTGTGGGTGGTGCAGGTGGGTGTAGGTGGTACAGGTGGGTGGGTGGTACAGGTGGGTGTGGGTGGTACAGGGTGGGTGTGGGTGGTACAGGTGGGTGTGGGTGGTGCAGTTGGGTGTGGGTGGTGGGGTGGGTGTGGGTGGTGCAGGTGGTGTGGGTGGTGGGGGTTGGGTGGTGCAGGTTGGGTGTGGTGGTGCAGGTGGGTGGGTGGTGCAGGGTGGTTGTGGAGTGTGGGTGGGTTGGGTGTGTGGGGGTTGTGGGTGGTGCAGATTGGTTGGGTGGTGCAGGTGGGTGTGGGTGGTGGGGAGGGTGTGGGTGGTGCAGGTGGGTGTGGGTGGTGCAGGTGTGGGTGGGTGGGGTGGGTGGTACAGGTGGTGTGGTGTGTAGAGGAGGGTTAGGTGGTACAGGTGGGTGTGGGGTGGTGGTGGGGTGTGGGTGGTACAGGTGGGGTGGGTGGTACAGGTGGGTGTAGGTGTGTGGGGTGTGGGTGTGGTGCAGGTGGGTGTAGGTGGGTACAGGTGGGGTGTAGGTGGTACAGGTGGGTGTGGGTGGTGCAGGTGGGTGTGGGTGTGGGGGAGGTGTAGGTGGTGGGTGTATTACACTTAATGAATCTGAGAATACAGTATTAGGTTTAGGTGCGAGATACATTAAGTAAAGTTATGACTTTAATAAAGGTTTAACAGGACACTTGTTTAGGGTACAAGGATACACCTGATAATTTAAAGGAGTTAATCGGGATACATGACACATATGTAGTAGTACAGTAGGTATGGGGCTACTCCTGGTTAGGAAGGTTACTGAAGTGACACATTTAGTGATCCCTCGAGAAAAGATCAATACAGTATTAGAGGAGAGTGACTGTGGGGCTGGTGGGTCATTATATAGCCAGAGGGAGTGTATGGGCTAATGAGTGTGGTAACATTTCCGGGGAAGGAGAACTTTAAACATTCCAGCAGACAAAATGTACAAACCTCAGAAATAGGTCACATGGTACACTTTGAGCCCTAACATTTTATTTAAACATTTGATAATTACAAGGTGAACTATGTACGGTAATAAATGAAATGATTGAAATTAGTCTCCTCAAATTTCAGTTAAAAAAGAATCTCATTACTGTACTGTATTATCAATACTAATATTTAAGATGACTAAATTGTAATATTAAAACTCTGTATTCTACACTACCGCATCACACACCTGTTCCATCTACTTATCTACATTCCTAACAACTTGTTTACTCCTTCCTGGAGACGGTCACAAGAGGAAAGCCTCCAGACCTTCCTATCTAGTCAAGACTCTACCTGTTCCACCATACTCACACTCTTACTCGACCTTTTACTTAGTATGTAATCTTCCACGCTCACCTGTCACTCAACTGGTCAACTGCCTAACTCACTCTTACAATCATGTCACTGATCATGATCCCTCACACCCACACTACCGGTATCTCCTACTCCACAATGTGACCTTCTTCCCAGGTGTATGAAGCCTCCTTACCCATTCATTGTGTGAAGGTCTCACCTCATGCTTGATCTTGTCCCCCTGGAAGCCAGAGCCTCGTCCATCAATCATAGCGTAGATGATGTCCTTCCTGGAGTAATGCCGAGATCCTCATCTTGGATGTCACTGCCTGGGCTCCTGGTGCTGCATACCTGAGGAGACAATGACAGGAGAGTGAGGGAGAAGTTCTATTTGGAATGTGTTGCTACATTGGGCGTGACAGGCTGTGGTCTCATATTGTAATTTACTGATTTTAGTGAATTCTAAAGGCAGATCATGCATTCTTACAATGATGATCAATTGCGAACACTTATGTTAAACAGAAAACAATTCCATATGTAAGAAAAAATTATTACAGGTACTTGTAATAATATGAGCAACTAGTTAAAGTTTATCTTAAGTACTGTACTGTAGTTGTATAAGGTTTGATTATACAGTACACGTAAATCGTAAAATGTTTCACTAAGTGGTAAACTAATCCTCTCAAAAATAGCTAAGGTGTTAAAAGGTTACCTATGTGATCATGGATCACTATTATATGCGGACTTTCATAGTAGACACCCGAGGTTCAGCACTTCACTTGTCCTCCTAGACATTCGGATAACTCACATAATAACAACCACAGGAAGATGGTGAGCCCATTCTCTCTACTGTGACTACCACGACACAAGTATACTACTCACTTACTGTTAGACAACTATGGGGTAGGTAGTAATCCCAACCTTACTATACAATACCTTGTACCGTACGTGTACAATGACCACTTACGTTTGGACAACCATGGGATAGGTGGTGATCTCATCCTCTCTTAGACCAGGCGGGAGGAACAGCTGGACATGGTACAGGTAGGTATCATCACCCTCAAGTTTAACAGGGAAAGCCTTCACCTGAGGCATAGCCATTTCCTCCACCCTCTCCCTCAGCTCACTGTAGTCATCCAAGGTGTAGATCATCTGAGGAACATCCAATACCAACCTGAGACGCTCATCCATGTCAGGTAATATAGCGTTACCTAAGGGGGAGGGGGCTTATCAAAAAACAATGGTGCCATATTTTTCACCTGATCAGAGAAAAGAATAAGGAGAAATGAAGACTGTTATTAAGAAATAGTCATACCATGTTAATCCTCTCATTAATGGAATTTTAAACTTTAATTTAGTTTTTCTTCATTAAATCATACATATGAGAAAAAAATTCTTATTATCCTGTGGTCAGGTTTTCTTACAGATATAAAAGATTAAAAAAAATTTCTTATCATGATTTCATGCAAGAATCATAAGGCAAAGTAAAGAAAGAGAAAAAATCTGGTCAAGTTATATCAGCCTATAGGTTAGGTTAGGTTAGGTTAGGTTTGGATAAATTAAATAGGTCATGTTAGGTTATGTTAATTAAGTTTGGTTAGATTAGGTTAAATTTGGGTAGGTTAGAGTAAGTTTTGTAAGATAAGGTTAAAATGGGTACAGTTATAATAAGTTTGGTTAGATGACGTTAAAATTGGTTAGGTTAAGGTAAATTTGATCAGAAAAAAAATTGATTAAGTTAGAGTAACTTTGGTTAGGTAGGGTTAAATTTGGATAGGTTAGGGTACGTCTGGTTAGGTATGGTTAACTTACGTCTGGTTAGGTATGGTTAACTTACGTCTGGTTAGGTATGGTTAACTTACGTCTGGTTAGGTATGGTTAACTTACGTTTGGTTGGGTAAAGATAGAAGTAAATAAAGGGGGAGATACTATAATATAAATGGTAGATAGTTTACATTTCCTTAAAGGCTGGTTTGGTTATATGCAGCATAGATAGTATAAGGTGGTGTGTGTGTGTGTGTGTGTGTGTGTGTGTGTGTGTGTGTGTGTGTGTGTGTGTGTGTGTGTGTGTGTGTGTGTGTGTGTGTGTGTGTGTGTGTGTGTGTGTGTGTGTGTGTGTGTGTGTGTGGTTATTGTGTGTGTGTGTGTGTGTGTGTTAGTGTGTGTGTGTGTGTGTGTGTTAGTGTGTGTGTGTGTTAGTGTGTGTGTGTGTGTGTGTGTGTGTGTGTGTGTGTGTGTGTCTGTGTGTCTGTGTCTGTGTTAGTGTGTGTGTGTGTTAGTGTGTGTGTCTGTGTGTGTGTTAGTGTGTGTGTGTTAGTGTGTGTGTGTGTTTGGTGAATAACAAGAGTATATAAGACCCCAAAAGCAGCTGATGCAGTCTATTATGTCATCAGTAAAGTGTTTCTCCTCTGGCCAAAGGTTTGTGGTTAACTGGTCAGCAGCAACAATATGGCAGAGGCTACGGTCACGACATACTTAGATAAATCAAAAGTGATACGTTATATAATAAATGTATGTAATATAGTTCTGTATACAGTTGCTAGTAAAAATACTTATAATATGTCATTTATGTAATGTATAAGTGAGTGTGTGTGAGTGTGTATATGGACTTAACCTGGAAATAAAAAGAGGCATAATCTGCAGGCTATGATTCGACCTGTTAAGAAAATATTTGTTTTTTTGTAATTATAGTAACTAATAAAACAATTTGCCTAAACCTTATCAGACATTGTGATAAATATTATATGTAGAGTATTGTAATATAACAAATCATTATATCTCTTGTGTTTTCTTCCACGGAGAAAATAAAGATTTTTAAAAGTGTCCCTAAAATGAAGAAGTGAAATAATGATGGCGACTTTATTCCCGTGTGGTGAAGGGAGTGACAAGTTAGATCCCAGCATGTTGGACACCTACCAGACTCACCAGTGTCACAGGGAGCAATACTTCAGTCCCAGGAAACAGGATTCAAGGGAATAATGCAGCTACCAATGCAGCTCATCACCCAGTCATAGACGAAACTCCTTATATTACCCAGCAGTATTATGGTTGTCTGCATGATCAACTAGGTCTCTAAAGCTGTCAAAAAACTCTCAACAGTCCAGTGAGATGACCCGAAGATTAACCTCCCCAGCTTATTTCACCTGATGATTAAACACTTCAGTTCCATCTAGGGTACTAAGTTAGGTTAGTGTTAGGGTGGTTAATCTTAAGTTGAAATATGCTGGGTGAATTCATCAGGCGATCCGTTCACTGCTCCAAACCTCAGACGAAGCTGTGAGTTAGGGTCTTAGAAAGTCTGCTGTCCAAACATTTAGATTGAAACATGTAAACAGATGGTGAAGGTTACAGGTTAAGTGTACCAGCATTTACTTACATAGGACCTAAGACTGACTTCATAAGCAATATTTCTATTTCCTTCAAAGAAACAAATGTTCCAAAATCATTTACAAGTTAGACTTCATTAATTCCAATTAATGAGACAAATTATCATGGACTGAAGTTCATATCATGGTTTGAACAAGACAAGTAACGGGAGTAACTGCATGACAATTATTAGTGACATTAATATGTGACGTGAGACAATAAATGAGCTGAATATATACCGGTAACATCACCACCGCCTGTGTCTTAACGTAATAATTCTTCTCTTCACAACTCTAGTTCTTATGGCTCGTTATAGTCTATCACATGTAGACTAAACAGGGAACAGAAAAGAAATTCCATCAATGTCAATATGAAATGACAGTAAACAAACATTCATAATACTGTACCCATGAGATAAATTATCTTGTAAGCGTAAACTTCATTCGGGTAGTAATCGCTTGGGTTACAAGTACAGTAGGTGTAAAAAGTTGATCACTTGGTTTTCTTGACCTGGTTCTGCCTATCATTTCTGTAAACCTTTTTTTTTTCTTCTGGGTACTATTGGGGTACAAGCAATACAGGATACATATGTTTGCTTAATTCAATATTTGTTTGAGAGACTCTGCTGATCATACTGGCACCATCACACCACAGAATACCTCAAAACACTCCTGGTGTGACTGGGCATAGAGGGTCCAGAAAGGCAGCATTACAGTATTCACTCCAATAAAACATCCTACCAGTGAAGTATCATATCTCGCGACACTGACAGGTCCTATCAGGAGGCCTTCAGCATACCGGGATCTCATAGGTCGTTAACCAAAAGTCCTAAAATGAGAATTACCTTCCGGAAACGACACAGAAATTTTTTTTTTGTCAGGTCACATTAAGTTTAGTGGAGTAAAGTTGTGTTCTTTGCACCAGAAATAGAATCTGCAGAAGTGCTATGTGAGTGAGTGAATGTACAGTAGTTACCGGTATGTGAATGAAGATGGGGCTGGGTGTGTGTAAGTAAATGATATTAGAACTGAAAACTGATACAGTATCTTATTAAAAAACATACTTCATATCTTCAAGTAGTTCAGATGAATGCACTATATCACATGCAAAGTTAATTATTGCATTTTACTATTTTTTGCAAGACCAATTTGTAAGTATTTATTGAGCAATTGGAAGGACCAAGGTGAATAAATGGTAACTCAGTACTGTAATTGCAAAAATAGAAGGATTGTGCGTAATGAAAATTGTAATATGAAATTTATATCAAACTTTTATAATAGGAAAAGCTATTGAAGAATTGGCATGAGCATCAACAGAGGTAAGGCAGTGTGAATATTAACATAAGTTAATTTGGACATGGGAAAGGTTAAAATATGAAATACTGTTTGATTACCCTGAGGAAGAAACAGTGGCTTGTTAGACCCATACTGTACTGTACTGTACTGTACTGTACTGTACCATACTGTACTGTACTGTACCGTGTTGTACTGTACTGTACCATCCATACTGTACTGTAATGTACTGTACCGCACCGTACTGTACCGTACCGTACCGTACTGTACCGTACCGTAATGTACTGTACTGTACCGTACCGTGCTGTACTGTACTGTACTGTACTGTACTGTACTGCTAAAACTAAATTACTCAACAATACAATATTTAGCTATAAAAAGAAGGCATACCAGAAATCTTGCTTTTCTTTGTACCTCTGAACAGAGCAAGCAGAGTTCAACACAATAAAATCATATACATTATATACAGTAGGCTGCTTATACAGTACGTGTGAGTGTGAGTCATATCCTCCAGAAGTGTTTGTAGGCCACCTGTTGAACTGTACTGTCACATTAAATACTTCAGCAACATATAAAACACTTGGTAGTAACTCTTAAGTGCTAGTTGTCACTCAGGCGCAACAGGTCCCACTCACCCCACTGACAAACATAATATGTGGTTTGGTTAATCAAGTGTACACGAGCAGGAAAGTATAACAAGGCAGAAGAAGTCAAAGAAAGGGCAAAGAAAAGGAAAATAAAGGTAGAGAGTTGACAAGAGTCAATAAATAACAGAATTTTGAGGCAGCGTTACAAACGACTGAGTGATGTTGTAGCGTGAGTGTGGCCAAATTAAACTTCTTAAAATAGTCGTCAATGGGAGAAGCCCCTCATCTGTTTACTCCCTGGCGGCAGCACTTACACACACGACCAGGGGCAACATTGGTCTACTTTATGGTAACAGAATATTCGGCTTAACTAAAAGAAACATTTGCTGTACAAAAATAATCTTGTAATTATCTTTATTGTTCAATAATTCCCTCTGTAATAAGACAGGCAAGGTTCAGTCAAGTTATATAAAGTATAAATATATAATAATCTTTCCAGCTTTAGTAAATGAGGTACAAAGCGGTACAGTACCATGCTTTTCCTGCAGTCGAGCCCCATTGTTTTCAAACGTGTTAATATTTTATGGGCTGAAACTAAATACCTACCTGATCCAGTACAATACTGTATCATAATATGTGACAATATGAAATGGTCACTTTAAACATTACATGCATAAGGTGAGGAATTTTCTCATTTCTAGTGAGGGCAATTCTTGAGTTTTATTGAAAGTTGATGTAAGTTTCAGCACAGAAAAATCAAAGACAAACTATATCTTGTAGGAGGCTGAGACAAAGGCACAAGTGAGGGTTGACTGCAGGGTCTGTGGTGTATTATTTATATCCATGCAAAGAATTGTAATCGTCTCAGCATGAAGTCTCCATCATCAGATGAGGAGGAGGATGCTGCCGCAAGTATTACTAGGTAAGCTGTTAAACCCAAGAGTGGGGGTGGCGGCCGGGGTGCCTGAGGCCTTACCCTCGGTACCATGCTCGTGGCTGATGACCGACGCTTCCCACTTTCCTCAACTTTGTGATCACCCTGTAATCGTAACACACTTTTGACTACCCTGTTTTTAAAGTCAATATTTTGATGAACCTGCAGCTGAGTTAATTTGTGTGCCAACCTGGATACAATGCATGAATGACCTGTAGATATGTTAAAATACTTGCTAACTGGGATATTGTAGAGTGCTTGGATGAACCTGCAGTGTCTTAAAATACTTGCCAGTTTGCATATAATATCTGCCTAATTCTTTAAATATGTCAGCATGATTCCTTATTAGACAAGATGGGAAGATGAGCCTAAGACTTGATGATGTGGACTTGCTTTTGTTGAATAATACAAAGTTCTCTTGAACCAGGATCTATGATATAATGGTTACTGACTCACACATTAGTCTAAGAGTTAAGTTTTTCAAACACATGAATATTATTATGTGTGTAACAAGCAGTATTCACTCATCTTCCCTTGACTGGCAGCTGCTGTTTGTGTCAACACATAATATTAGAATAAATTTGAAAGTATGGTTGCGTGTTCTATGACTGGCATAAAAATGGCTATTAAGATCACCTACAACCCAATCACTGCTTAGAGTAGTTATTTTTCTGCAGTTGTCCTCAATATACTTAACCGTCTGGGCACAGTTAAGTATGATTCCATGGACCTGCTGGCCAATGGTCCTGGTGAACCCAAACTTAACCTAACCTAACTTATTACTGACATCAGGGTCCATTGTGACTACAGGCCATCAGGGTTGAGGCCCACTAGGACTGGGGTCCCTTTAGACTGGGACCCATATGTCTAAGGCCATTATAACTGAGCCCCAATCCTAATGGTTGGGGACAAGGCCTATTAGGAAGGGGGCCTTTATGACAAGTCACCTTTATATAATATTATATGTACAGTATTGTCAGATGGTTGGTGAAGTGTGTACTGTATAATGCTTAGATATAAATATTATCAATAGTTATCACTGGTCACTTAATTATTTGTTTTGAATATTTTTCTGATTATTTTCTGGTCGAGCTGGGCAAGAGTTGTCAGTCTTTACACCGTGAAAAATCTATTATAAAGGAAGACTTCCCATGCACAGATGGTATAGATCAGTTCATCTATCATTGTATGGATCTAAACTAAAAGTCCATATTTCATTTTTGCATAATTAAGAAAATTATTTTACAGTAAGTTTCATAAGGATTGGTACAGATGAATTTGATACGGCCAGCTGAATCAAGATGACCATAAGGGTCCAGGACTCCCCGACGCCATAGAGACACAACGAACGATAACACCACAAAATAAGGAAGAACAATATAATACTGATAACTAAAATCCTGCGAGATATTTTTGGGTTACATCTATAAACAGGACCAAGTTATATTTGGTCAATTCCTATTTTATTCAGTTGCTGTCTTCACAAGATGCCCTGATAAATATACACAATGTAAAGACTTACAATTTCCATATTTCCCACCACTTGTCTTCAGCACAACAAGAGAATGCTTTTTCTTTTTCAAATGAAAGCGTCTTCGGAATACGGGTGTCCACCGTCAAGAGAAGTACGTGTAAGACTCTGACTATGCTCTAAGGGTTAATAAAAAAAAGGATGATATGAAAGCTCTTTGCAAATAAACACAAAAGCACACAGCTATGCTTTAAAACAAAGATTATTAAGGTTTATTAATGGTACAGTATCTCAAAAAAAGTATCTGCTAGGATGAGTCCGATGACTTCTGAAAGGCTACCTGCAACTCGTGATGTCCCGGGAGGGTTGGTATGCGTGGCTCTGTGGCATACTGATCCTACGACATTTGGTAACCGAACATCATAATTATTGATTACGCCGAAATAAATTCACCTTGTATTATTTATGTTAAACTATACACCCAAGTAAATGCATGTCCCAATATCTATTATCCGTGGTCTCATAATGTTTCACACAGAGTGTGGACAGATACTTTTTTGAGATACTGTACATACGAGTACACGATCTATGTCTCAAAGTTTAGTTGCCATGTCACCGGTAGAAGTTGTGATAGTTAAGAACCATTTGTCTACAGATCGTCATATGGATGGACAGATAGCCAGCACTATGACTATATTTCCTCTGATACAAATGATGACAAGACAACTGCACAACTAAATGTCCATTAGCCAATTACAGGAACAGCTTCTGAACAACAAAGTTGAAATGAAAATGGAATCTTCCAGGAATCGTTTGAAGCTAGTTAAGTGGACGCAGCAGTGAAGAATGGCCCCTGCTGGCATTTAGTTGCGACTGTCCCCTCTGTAGCAGTCTAATGAAACAATTATTGAAGAGGACAGACTGGTATAATCATGAACAAAATTCCATTCGACTCGTCTGCTGCTCCACGAACCTCAATTCATACTCGTGAACCCGAAGGCTTTATGGGCAGAATAATACATCATTGTCTGCTGCTTTGGGTTCACGAGCATGAATCTCAGGGTTCGTGGAGTAGCAAAAGAGGGGAAATGGAGTGCTTTAGAAATGGATTTTAATTTGTCTACATCTGCTACTTATACACTGCGGTGTTATTTATTAACAACATCTAATGAACAGAATTAACAGCTACATTTAGAATAACATCAAGAAGCTCCTGTCTCGAACACATAACCTAACTTTTGGTGGATAATCGGTTACAAAGAGATTATAAAAATTACGAAAGCCTAAAGTTACCTCATAGCCTTAATTATTTGTGTGATATAAAGTTTATGTTCTTCAGATTAATCCATAGTTGTGTTTCAAAGTGTTACATCCTTGGTATTTAATCTAACATTTTCCGAGTGGTAAAACTGACGCATTGACGTACAAAAAAAAAATTATCTACCTGAGGGCGAACCAACTTAGAAAGGGATAATTACCTGGTTACTCCAAGTAGAGAAAAGGTAGGTCCTGGGAACGTCCGGGCCAAGACACTCAAGAATAAAGAAGGCAAAGTCAGAGGAGAGATGGGCCTTGTTGTAGAGGCAGGCGTCAGTGGTGTTATCCGCCTCCAAGCACGACAAACACTCTGGGATCCGAAGCATTGGGAGGGCGTCAGCCACACGGTACAAGTGTCTCTCTCCGGGTTCATCCTCCTTCGTGGCCATGTAGTAACTGTCGAAAGGGAAGCAGGTTACCTTGAAGTACCTAGATCATGGGGTGAATAGTGTTGATGGTTGATGTATAGTATAGTGAGGGTGGTAGAGAGGTGAGGTGTGGTGAGAGTGGTAATGAGGTGTGATTAGGTGTGGTAGTGAGGTGTGGTGAGGGTGGTAGAGAAGTGTGATGAGGGTGGTATTAAAGTGTGGTGAGGTGTGGTAGTGAGGTGTGGTGAGTGTGGTAGTGAGGTGTGGTGAGGGTGGGTAGTGAAGTGTGAGGGGTGGTAGTGAAGTGTGATGAGGTGTGGTAGTGGTGTGAGGTGTGGTAAAAAGTGGTGAGGTGGTAGTGAGTGTGGTAAAGTGTGATGAGGATGGTGGTGAGTTGTGATGAGGATGGTGTGAGTTGTGGTGAGGATGGTAGTGAGTTGTGATGAGGATGGTAGTGAGTTGTGGTGAGGATGGTTGCAAGTTGTGTTGAATGACATGAAGTGGTAGTGGTGTGATGTGGTGATGTTAGTGTGCGTGATGTGGTGATGTCAGTGTGTGTGATGTGGTGATCGGTGTGTGTGATGTGGTGATGTTAGTGTGTGTGATGGTGATGTCAGTGTGTGTGATGTGGTGATGTTGGTGTGTGATGTGGTGATGCCAGTGTGCGTGATGTGGTGATGTCAGTGTGTGTGATGTGGTGATGTTAGTGTGTGTGATGTGGTGATGTTTGCATTTTGTGATGTGGTGATGTTTGCATGTGTGATGTGGTGATGTGTGTGTGTGATGTGTGTGTGTGCGTGATGTGGTGATGTCAGTGTGTGATGTGGTGATGTCAGTGTGCGTGATGTGGTGATGTCAGTGTGTGTGATGTGGTGATGTCAGTGTGTGTGATGGTGATGTCAGTGTGTGTGATGTGGTGATGTCAGTGTGCGTGATATGGTGATGTTAGTGTGTGTGATGTGTTTGCATGTGTGATGTGGTGATGTTAGTGTGCGTGATGTGGTGATGTCAGTGTGTGTGATGTGGTGATGTTAGTGTGTGCGTGATGTGGTGATGTTTGCATGTGTGATGTGTGATGTTTGCATGTGATGTGGTGATGTTAGTGTGCGTGATGTGGTGATGTCAGTGTGTGTGATGTGGTGATGTCAGTGTGTGTGATGTGGTGATGTCAGTGTGTGTGATGGTGATGTTAGTGTGCGTGATGTGGTGATGTGTGTGTGATGTGGTGATGTTAGTGTGTGTGTGATGTGGTGATGTCAGTGTGTGTGATGTGGTGATGTCAGTGTGCGTGATGTGGTGATGTCAGTGTGCGTGATGTGGTGATGTTAGTGTGTGTGATGTGGTGATGTTGGTGTGTGTGATGTGGTGATGTCGGTGTGTGATGGTGATACCAGTGTGCGTGATGTGGTGATGTCAGTGTGTGTGTGTGGTGATGTCAGTGTGTGATGTGGTGATGTTAGTGTGCGTGATGTGGTGATGTCAGTGTGTGTGATGTGGTGATGTCAGTGTGTGTGATGTGGTGATGTCAGTGTGTGTGATGCGGTGATGTCAGTGTGTGTATGATGTGGTGATGTCAGTGTGTGTGATGTGGTGATGTTAGTGTGTGTGATGTGGTGATGTTAGTGTGCGTGATGTGGTGATGTCAGTGTGTGTGATGTGGTGATGTTGGTGGTGAGTGTTGGCAGTGGCAGTGGTCCAGCACCCCCTCTCAGCCATCACCACTACCTCTCAGCCATCACCACACACCTCTCAACCCTTACCACTTACACCTCAGCCCTTACCACTTCACCTCTCAGCCATCACCACTTACACCTCTCAGCCCTTACCACTTACACCTCTCAGCCATCACCACTACACCTCTTACCACTTACACCTCTCAGCCATCACCACCACACCTCTCAACCCTTACCACTTACCTCTCAGCCATCACCACACACCCTCTCAACCCTCCTTCCACCTCTCAGCCATCACCACCACACCTCTCAACCCTTACCACTTACACCTCTCAGCCATCACCACTTACAACTCTCAGCCCTTACCACTTACACCTCTCAACCATCACCACTACCTCTCAGCCCTTACCATCACTCTCAGCCATCATCACACCCTCGCCATCACCCACCTCTCAGCCCTTACCATACACCTCTCAGCCATCACCACTTCACCTCTCAGCCATTACCACTTCCTCTCAGCCATCACTACACCTCAGCCCTTACCACTCACCTCTCAGCCACTCACACCCTCAGCCATCACCACTACACCTCTCATCCCTTACCACTTACACCTCTCAGCCATCACCACTACACCTCTCAACCCTTACCACTTACACCTCTCAGCCATCACCACTTACACCTCAACCATCACCATACACCTCTCAGCCATTACCACTTACACCTCTCAACCCTTACCTTACACCTCTCAGCCATCACCACTACACTCTCAGCCCTTACCACTTACACCTCTCAGCCATCATCACTTACACCTCTCAGCCATCACCACTACACCTCTCAACCCCTCCACACCTCTCAGCCATCACCACTACACCTCTCAGCCATTCACACCTCTCAGCCATCACCACTACACCTCTCAGCCATCATCTACACCTCAGCCATCACCACTACACCTCTCAGCCATCACCACTACACCTCTCAGCCATCACCACTTACACCTCTCAGCCATCACCACACCTCTCAGCCATCACCACTACACCTCTCAGCCCTTACCACTTACCTCTCAGCCATCACCACTACACCTCTCAACCATACCACTACACCTCTCAGCCATCACACACACCTCTCAGCCATCACCACTACACCTCTCAACCTTACCACTTACACCTCTCAGCCATCACCACACACCTCTCAGCCCCACCCCCTACACCTCTCAGCCATCACCACTTACACCTCTCAGCCACACCACTTACACCTCTCAGCCATCACCACTACACCTCTCAACCCTTACCACTTACCTCTCAGCCATCACCCTACACCTCTCAGCCATCACCACTTACCCTCTCAGCCATCACCACTACACCTTCAACCCTACCACTTACACCTCTCAACCATCACCCTACACCTTCAGCCATCACCTACCCTACTCTCAGCCATCACCACTACACCTCTCAACCATTACCACTTACACCTCCCAGCCATCATCACTACACCTCTCAGCCATCATCACTTACACCTCTCAGCCATCACCACTACACCTCTCAGCCATCATCACTTCTCCTCTCAGCCATCACCACTACACCTCTCAACCATCACCACTACACCTCTCACCCTACCCCACCTTCAACCATCACCACTTACACCTCTCAACCATCACCACTACACCTCTCAGCCATCACCACTACACCTCTCAACCCTACACTTACTCACCATCACCACTTACACCTCTCAACCCTTACCACTTACACCTCTCAGCCATCACCACTTACACCTCTCAGCCATCACCACTTCACCTCTGCCATCACCACTACACCTCTCAACCCTACCACTACACCCCACCTCACCACTCTCAGCCATCACCACTTACACCTCTCAGCCATCACCACTACACCTCTCAACCATCACCACTTACACCTCTCAGCCATCACCACTTCACCTCTCAGCCATCACCACTACACCTCTCAACCCTACCACTACACCTCTCACTCCCACTACACCTCTCACCCATCACCACTATACCTCTCAACTATCACTACTACACCTCTCAGCCATCATCACTTACACCTCTCAAGCCTTACCACTTACACCTCTCAACCATCACCACTTACGCCTCTCAGCCCTTACCACTTACACCTCTCAGCCTTTACCACTTACACCTCTCAGCCCTTACCACTTACACCTCTCAGCCCTTACCACTTACACCTCTCAGCCATCACCACTACACCTCTCAGCCATCACCACTACACCTCTCAACCATCACCACTACACCTCTCAACTATCACCACTACACCTCTCAGCCCTCACCACTTACATGTAATTGTTGTTCTGGTCCCAACCCAAGATATCAGTGACCTCGAAGGCACCGTGGGTGATGGGCATGACCCGACGCATGCGCACACTGTACAGGTTGACATGCTTGAACTCGCCTTCCTCCCCGTCACGCACAGGTAGTCTCACCAGGTAACTCTGGCCGTCCTCAGAGAAGATGGGAGCGTCATACAGTTCCACCCAGCCGTGACCTCCTGAGTGTTCCGTGTGTGTCTGTGGGGGTGAGGGAATATGTCTGTTTATAAATAGGAAGAGTTGTACAAGCCATGTTAAGGAAACGACACAAAAATAAGGCCCAAGACAGAGAGGGGAAAATATCCCAAATAAAAACACTGCAATAGACCTGCAACGGAAGTAATTTTTTAATGCATAGGTGAAAACATGTGAAGAAGTCTGGACAATGTTATATGAAAGATCAACACAGAAATAACGGGATAGTCGATGATAGTTTCTCAAAATGTGAGGCTGGTTAGGTTATATTTAATAACCTGTGGGTGAGCATCTCAGACTTTCTCCGGCATCCGTCTCTGCCTAGTGTCTACAGCATTGCCGCTAAGTGATCGTTGGGTATTGTACCTCTATCGTCTCCGTGATCTTTTCAGCCTTATGTACTACTTTAATACTTAGGCGACACCTTTTATGCTCATATGTGACTTACGTGTTCTTGTCAATGAGCCAATATCATTACGTCTCATTTATGACTGATACCAGGTCCGAGACTACTTGCGTACTTTATGAGCGCCATTATATAGGACCACCACAGTGCTCTTATTCTTGTATCTATTTAGTCATTTACTCCTTTAAATTCTTGTGCATTAGACTATACCTTTTTTAGGATTGGCGTTTGTCAAGACCCGGCCTATCCAGTTGATGTAATTTGTATATCTTTTAGTGTTAAGATTAACTATAAGCAATTAGCTGTTGATGCATGTTCAACTACCCTCCTCATATCTGATATCTGGGAACACACTGGGAACACAACACTAATTTGTTCACGAAAGGAATTTGTAGGTTAGGTTAAGATATATTAGATTAAGTTAGGTTAGGTTAGGCTGGGTTAATAGACGCTACAGTGCAAATATCCTGGTAGACCAACTCCAGCTCGATAGACCGCATACTATAGTAGCACCTAATATTTTTTAAATCATTATTTATCCATTTGGCGTCATTGTTATTTGATCCGAGTGTTCTGTATGATATATTGTGTCTTTGTGCATTGATGAACTCATTATTTAAATTGTTATAGAACTCGTCAACCTCAGATCTCGTGATCAGGTCACCCTCAGCAGTCATATATTGTGAGGTTACCGTTGTGAGCTCACCACGTAAAGTGAGGTAGCTCTCTGCGAGTAGATCGTGTGAGGTCATGTAATTCACCCCCAAACGTAATACCCATTCTCTCAGCTGCCTTTTCAACCTATCAAAGATTGCCCTTCTGAAATCTGGGACTTTAATGCAATTTTCCTTGCAACAGACATTAATTTCTACTTTGAATCTCACTTCTTTGTGATCGCTGTTAGCTAGTTCGTTCCCTACCTCGACATTACTAATGAAGTTCCTCTGTTTCACAGAACTAAATCTAGTATCTTATTACCCCGGGGGGGTTCTGCTATATTTTGACTTCGGAAACAGTCCTCAACTGTTTCAAGAAAATCCTCCGATTCTGAGTTACCGGTAAGAACATAAGAATGGAGAAAACTGCAGCGGGCCTATTGGCCCATACTGGGCAGTCCCATTTACACCCAACCCCTATCGCTCATATATCCATCCAACCTACGTTTGAAGCTATCCAGCGAATTCGAGTTAATGATGGTGTTTGGTAACTTGTTCCATTCATCCACTATATTTCCAAACCAATGTTTACTTATCACGGGCCTAAATCTAAATCTGTCTAATTTAAAGCCATTGTTACGAGTTCGCTCCTGGTTGGATGGTTTGAGTACCTTTGTTATATCACTTTGTTTAGCCCTGGCTTCCATTTATAAACCTCTATTATATCGCCCCTCACTCTACGTCTCTCGAGGGAGTGCAAATTCAGATGCTTTAACCTGCCTCTGTACTCAAGGTTCCTAATGCACGAGTTTAGTCTTGTCATTCTCCTCGGAATTCTTTCTAGGGATTCTCTATCCATTCTGTAATACGGTGACCAGAATTGAACTGCGTGATCCAAGTAAGGTCTCACAAGCGCAAGATATAGTTTTAGGATGATCTCTCTAGTCTTGTAATTAACACTCCTTTGTGTGAATCCAAGTACTTTATTAGCCTTGTTTCGGGCAAATACACATTGTTTATTTGGCATAAGATTCCTACTTATCATTACTCCTAAATTTTTCTCACATTCGGATTTCTCTATAACATCGTTGTTCATCTGATATCTGGTTTCTCTGTTTACATCTCCTAGACTAAGTACTTTACATTTGTCCACATTGAATTTCATCTGCCATTTTTCAGACCATTCGAAATATTTGTTTAGATCTCCCTGTAGTTTTGTAGAGTTCTCGTCAGATTTTATTATACGCCCTGTTTTAGTGTCATCAGCAAATTCTTATGTTCCTGTCTACGCCGATATCTATGTCGTTTATGTATATAATACATAATAATGTCCTAGTACTGAGCCTTGGGGTACCCCACATAAGTAGCTATCCTAACTGTGTTGAGTTAGTTGAGCCGCAGATCTATGCGGCATTCAGTGACTGTTGCCTCATAGTCAATATCTGCAACTGTTGTCGGCTTTGGGTTCGATGCTCTCGTTCCCCTGAGGCAGAGCAAAGCCAACCTAAGGAGAGAGAAGGACAGTCGACATCTCATCCAGGCTGTAACATAACTTCTGGGCTGCTGTTTGTGTTCAGATATCACTTCCACGAGTCTGGCGTAGAAGCATCTTATACTTGGTCCCATCCCACCAGAGGTTGTGAACACTAGAGGAGTGAAGCTGCCTTGATCAACGCCCTTATCTTGTCGTTCTCGTTCCTCCTGTGTGCAGCATCGAGAGCTAAGTTATGGTGACATGCGGCCATGGGATAAAAAATCCTGATGTCGAAGAAAGCTCGCTGTCCCCGCGTCCAGAATCTTCGAGCACTGACGTCAACACGGGCTTCGTTGGATATGTTTGAAGTCCTATATTGGAAAATCTCACCGTCCAATGGAAGGAGGTTCGGTTCTACCCAGACATCACGGCAGATTTCCTTCAACATATTTGCTGTGAGATCCCTTACTTCGTCATGCCTCATGCATATGAAGCCCCCTTTCTTGCACACCATGGCGTGATCGACGTCATAGGACGAGCCACACACGCACTGGGAGGGCAAACCTTCTCCTGGCCTACCGTACCTTAGAGCATTGGCATCTGTAAATTCTTGTTTATTGAGACTGAAACCATTTGCCCTTATCGGTAACGTAGTTAACCAGTTCGAGGCGCCCACCTCCTTCGCTATAGCTACTTTTTTTTTTTAGTTCTCTGGTACTTGCAGCAATAGTTGCTGCAACTTATCACTTTAGCCGTGCTGTCGTTCTGTCGTAATGGACCTTCGAGTCTTGTTTACTTCACTGGTATCCACCTCCCCTGTTGCGTTCTGGGCTATTATGTGGTCCGTGACGGCTGCCGTGAGCTTAATTGAGTTTTGATGTTCAGTGGCAGCAATCTCCTCTGGATTGGTCAATCCCATTCCTCCCAGTCTCGGTGGCAGAACAAGGAGTGATCTTTCTGCTGGGGTTAAGCGAGTGTGTTTCACTAATTTGGGAATGAAATTGACGCTGATGGCTTCTTCCAGAGGGTGGAGGAGGGGTCCGATATCAGGGATAGTGTGCATCAGGTAGTTCCAGCGATGCTTGACTCCATGGGTGAATGCCGCAAAAGCCGCATGTGCCTCTGTGTTAGCAATGTCAGACAGAGCTTGGATTTCCCTAACCAACTCATTCACCTTTCCCGTTACGTATTCGGTCTTGAAGTCCGTCGTGCCGATTACTGCGCCTAGGTGTCTTTGGCCATCCTTTGTTATTTTTACCTCACTTCCACCGAACACCTCCATTGCCCGTTCATAATGTTCTGGCTTCACAATGAGGAAGGACTTGCTGGCGTTTGGGTGGTACCCTATTTGTGGACCTCGCGATGTTACCAGGTCCCACCACTTTTTGATGTCCTCCACTTTTCCAGCTCCTGTAAGGTCATCAGCGTACGCCGCTTGCTTGACCTCAGTTGTTTCAAATTTTATTGTGTGTTGGAGCACGGATAGGCCTATTGCATATATTGCCATTGCAACAGGGTCCCCCTGCGTTGTTCCCTCGGTTGACTGTATGATGGTATCACCTTTTAGAGCCTTGTTGTTTACTATACAGAGGTCTGATGGATTCCTAGAGGAGTTTTCAACAAACATTGCAAAGCTTGGAGACTTGATCTTGATGCTGTGCAGTGCGGCCTTGCAGTTAAGTATGTTGAATGCGTTTGAAGTGTCCACCAGGAAAACGGCCTCACAATCACGTTGCTCAAATATCGTTCTCATGGCGAGAATGGCAGCTTCCCCACCAGCCTGGTGGCCAGCACAAAACTTGCAGGTTCCCAGCTGCTGCCCTGACATCATCCTTTACCACCTACATTATGCATTTTCCGATGATCCGCCTCAGCACTGCCCCCACTCCTATTGGCCTACATCCTGGATTCTTATCCAGGGGAATGAGGCGGCAGGCCGTCAGAGCATGGAGGTGTTGGCAGCAAGAGGATGCAAGCTTTCTTGCAAGGACGGCAATGGCCGTGCAGAAATTACTTGCTACGGGGCCAAACTTGTTAGTGCTGAGGATGACTCTCCAACCGTTTGCATCCAGACCTGAAGGGCCGGCACCTCCTCGAGTCTTCAGTGCTTTTTTCCACACCATCTCTCCTGTTATTTTCTCGAACAGGACAGCGTTTGGTGGGATATAGTCACCCTGGAACCTTATGCCTTCGTCTTCACTTGCAGGGGGATGTTTTTCTTTCAGTTCTTTTGATGTTTCTTTGTTTATTGGCAGAGCCCCACCGGAGGATTCCTCTGTGAGAGATCTTACCGCCGAAGACACTTTTCCCACACGCATTTTGTCTCCAAACTTTCTTGCAACGTCATCGGTGTTTTGCTTTCCGTCCCTTATAAATTTTAGTCTCTCCTGCAGTGTTCTTGCTTCACATAGGAGGTCATCAAGGGCCCCATTCTGCCACATTGTCAATCTTCTCTTCATTGCTGCCGCATTTTCTTTGTGCTTAGTCTTTGTGTGTGTCCTCTGACAGATGTGATATTATTGCCAGTATTTGAAGAGTTAAAGGGGCAAGGAAGCAGTCCTGAGTGTACTCAATTATGAGGCGAATCATCTCCCGAATCATTTTCTTTGATGGCCGCACACTTGGGTGGTTCAAACAGGTTTGCTGGCGACCACCTGACAATTTCTGAGTAAGTTTCTTTAACCCATATGTCCGCATTTTCCATAGACATGCCATTCCACTGTGGTGGCTGTCTCTCATTCACCTCGTGGACATCTGCTACTATTGGAGCAGCGTTTATTAGTACTACATTTCAAGGTTGAGTAGACTCACTGCTATCATTTAGAATAACATCGGGTGGTTGGGTCCTCGCGACATCCACTGTGGCCTCCTGTGTCGGCTCCCTGTCATATGGGTTTCGACAATTGTTTCCCTTTCTGCAAACCACACATGGTCGGTTGTTTCTTGCACATTCACAGCTAGTGCAATTTTGGTATTGGCTTACACAGACGCAGCAATGTCTGTTACCCGGCATAGTGTTCCGCACCTTGGGCGACAGTTACGTCCCCCTCCGACATCTGCTTTGGTCCCATATAGGAGAAGAAACTAGTTCTTATGAGTAAAGGGCAGAAAGGTAAAAGGCTGGACTGCTGTGTCCGGGTAGTAGGGGCATACGTGCGCGCGTGGGTGTGTAGGCCACCCCCCTGTGGGCGACAATCCACACATCATAATGATACACTGGGAGCAAGAATTGTCACACCTAACACTTGTTTATATATCCTTAGCAGAAATAACCACTATTTCTATGGTCACACTGATGTAATATTATTTATATGAAGTGACCGTTGGGGAGGGGGGACCGCTAGCGTAGAGCACTTGGCCCCATAGGGGCGAGAGTCTCGATGCCCTTGCCAAAGTAGGCCTATCGACACTGGCACTGGCACCTGCAGTAGCCGACCAACCAAATACTCACAAAACGCTTGGTGATCGCCGGTGAACACACGGAATACTTGCGATTAATGCCGTAAGAGATGAGAAGAACCTTCGGTGACAATGCTTAGGGTGACATCCGATATTCACCGACACTACTACTACTATTTTGCTACTGCTACTACAACTACTACTACCACTCCTACTATTACTACTATAATGTTACTGCGACTACAACTATGATGCTACTGCTACTACAACTATTATCTTTTAAATGGCCTTCAGCCTCCCTCAATAGCCATTCCTTAGCCACCATTTTATTACTGCTCCTACTATTACTACTACTATATAATGCTACTGCTACTACAACAACTACAATACTGCTTCTACTATTACTACTTTAATGCTACTACTGCTACTACTACTAGCATTAACAACAAAAATACCAGATACCATACACACAGGGTTCTGCCCACCATTAATACCTTAGAGATGAGGGTAATACCTAGCTCACCTCTTATACTAAACCAATAGTATTAACTCTAAAACACCCCACCGAGTTATTACTTCAGACACCATGCGAGTTAAGCCGTACTTGAGGGGCAGTGTGGGCAGACCCGTGTCTGTATGTGTGATAATGATGTTAAGACACAGAGAGAGAGCTGAACGACTGACCGCCTCACAGTAGTACATGGGGTGAGCACAGGTAGTGATGACTGAGGTGTTCTGAGCTCTGTTCATCCAGACGACGCTGATGGTGGTACTGTCGACCCAGGTGACCGCCGTGAAGTAGTGGTCCCTGTTGAACCACCCCAGAGAGATGTGTTGTTATTGTTGTGAGAACTCAAGGTTCACGACACACACACACACACACACACACACACACACACACACACACATACATTACATGCATTACATACATTCACTACATAATTCATTACATACATTACATACATACAACACACACACACACACACACACACACACACACTCCTACTACTACTACTACTACTACTTTGCAATCACTCAAAATTGAGTATGACGATCTTCCAGCTATGATACAATGATATGAGTTATTAAGGATGTCACCTTCGATGGTGAGCTCCGAGGTGACTCGAGAGGCCGATACAAGATCGGCATGGCAGTCCACAGATGTTGCACGTGTGGAGGGCTACATCTACTGCCGGAAGGGCGGCGGCAGCGTCTTTCCGGCGCTGGTGCTTATCTGCCTTGGTTTGCAGTCAGACTAACTCGAAAGCAGTGACACCTCGTGAGGTGCTCTTCCAAGTGCTACGATGTGGAGTAATCGTCTCCCTGATAAGGGGGACGATTTGGCACTTTTTCAGGTTTGTCTTAAGACTATCCTTATACCTTTTCCGTTGGCTGCCAGCGTTACGTTTAGGTGGCTGAAAAGTAGCTGCTTTGACAGTCTACTCTCGTTCATGCGGGTAATATGGCCAGTCCAGCGTTGTTGTTAATGGATAATGGTAGTCTTGATGCTGCTACAGTTGTCAGCAAAAATTCTGGCATTTGTTCTCTTGTGTTCCCATCGAACTCGGAGGAGGGAACATAGATTACATTGGTGAAAGTTGTCACGTCACATACAAGAGGCACCTCAAGGTGCCTCTTGTATGTGACCCATGTCTCGCTGCCATACAGGAGGGTGGGGAGGACCACTGCTCGATACACGTGCAATTTTGTAGATAATCTCACCTCCCTACAGCTGAAAACACGGGTATGGAGTCTGCCAAAGGCTTAAGATGCACATTTGAATCGATGTTGATTCTCTTCATTGATGTCCGCAGTGGTGGACAGGTGGGAGCAAAGATACTGAAAGTAGGTAACATTTAGAGAGGATAGTCCCGTTAAGCTGGGTGGATGGCAGAGGTGTGGTTGAACCAGGGGCAGACTGAAAGAGAATCTGATGCTTTTGTGCATTCACCTCAAGGGCGAAATGTGCATACACATCCGCGAAGGTGTTTAGGATCTCCCTTAGGTTGCTTTCAGTGTGAGCGACGAGGGTGAGGCGTCTGCATACTGAAGTTCAGTGATGGAAGCAGCTGATACCTTTGTTCCTGCCTGGAGTCGTCTTATGTTGAAAATATCCTTCATCCGGTACTTGATGTCCACCCCGCGAGCTAAATTGGCACTGGCACGAGTAAGGAAGGCAGCCAAGAAAATGAAAGAGAGAGTTGGTGCCAGTACACATCCTTGTTTTACCCATTGTTTAGGTAGGGAAGAACTCAGACTGGGTGCCATTGTGCAGAACACTGCCGTTCATGCCATCGTTGAGTTGCCTCACATTGGCAATGAATTTTGGTGGGCAGCTAAAACGACTGAGGGTCCGCCCGAGGGCTTCCCTATTGACCAAGTCGAAGGCCTTGGTAAGGTCAATGAAGGCCATGTACAAGTCACGACATTGTTCTTTGCACTTTTCCTTAATCTGACAAAGATCATGTCAGTGGTGCCACATGATGGTCTAAACTCACATTGAGATTCTGGGAGGAAGTTTTCCGCCTCAAGAAGAAGTCTGTTTACGGGACTCGAGAGATAATCTGCCAGCTACGAACAGCAGTGATATCCCGGGGTAGTTGCCACAGTGACTGGTCTCCCTTGTTATTATAATATTGACGATGGAGGCGTCTTTAAGATCTTGGGAGGATTTCTCCTTCTCCCATATATTCTCCAGGAGAGAGTGGAGACGGTTGGTAAGCAGAGGTCCTCCTGCTTTATACACCTCGGCTGGGATGACATCAGGCCCTGTGGCTTTGTTATTTTTCGCCTGCTTGGTTGCAGTAGCTACCTCATCCAGGGATGGAGGATAGCTAAGGTCGGTCAGCACTGGGTACTGAGGAACCTGCTGGTTTAGTCAGGACATCCACATTGGTATTTCGGTTAAGCAGCGAATGGTAGTGCTCTTTCCAGTGCTGACGGAGGCCCTTTTCGTTTTTAATTAGGGAGTTACTATCGGATGAGCGGAGAGTGGAGACGCCATGAGTAGTTGGGCCATATATTGTTTTAGCGGAATTGAAAAATTCCCGCATCTTGTGTTGATCCGTAATTTTTTTTTTCATTAGTTTGCGAAGTTCGCGCTGGACCGCCGGTTTCTTTTAGTGGAAGGTATCAGCTTTGGTCAGAGACTTGGGGGTTGTTCTGCCAGTCAGAAAGAGTAGCACGTTTACTACTGATGAGTACTTCGATTTCCGGGTCGCTTTCATCAAACCAATCCTGGTGTTTTCTTTTGATGTGGCCGAAGGTCTCGTTGTAGGTTTTTGTGATAACAGCTTTTATGGGACCATTCAGCACTGGGATTTTGTTTGTTTGTTGTTGGATTGCTTTTTAGCCAATCGTCGAGCTGCTCTTTGAAAGCATGTGCTACCACTGGATCTTCCAGTCGCTTTGTGTTAAAGCCTCTTCTGGAGGCTTGTTGCCTTCACCGTTTTGGCGTGACGTGGAGGGATAGTTTGGCTCTGACGAGCCGATTATCTGTGACAGAGTGGTCTGAGCCACGCATGGCACGGGTGATAAGAACATCTCGGCGATCTCTTCCTCTGACAATGATGTAGTCAATGATATGCCAGCGTTTGGATCGTGGGTGTTGCCACGAACCATTGAACTTGACGGCCTGCCTAAACAAGGTGTTGGTGATAGTGAGGCTGCTTTCAGTACACCTGCTGAGGAGCAGTAGGCCGTTGGGATTACACTTGCTTACTCTGTTTCTCCCTATGGTTTCCTGCCATATGTCAGAATTTCTGCCATCTGTGGTACTGAAGTCACCTAGAAGCACAACCTTATCTTTTCAGGGGATAGAGGTTAGCACTCTGTCAAGGTCGGCGTAAAAGGCCTCCTTGATGCCATTATCTGCATCCACTGTTGGGGTGTATGCGCTAATGAAGAAGGCATGACGTGAGTGATTCAGTGGGACTCAGAGCGTCATGCGGCTTTCGTTGATTCTAACCACCATTTCAGTAAGCACACGTAGGATGGATTGGAGAATGGCAAAGCCAACTCCGTAAATGCAGTTCCTCTCTGTAGCAGGCTTACCCTTCCAGAAGAAGGTGCAGCCAGACCCCCGTTCTGTGAGTCGACCCTCGTTTGGGAACTGGGACTCACTTATGGCTGCTATGTCGATGTTGTACCTAGACAGCTCTTTTCCCACAAGGGCAGTTCTTCCTTCAGTGCGCTCATTTCTACCAGTATCCAGAAGGGTCCTGACATTCCTTGCAGTTGTTGTTGTCTTTTTCTCTGATCAATGATTGTTTTCCACGGCATTAAAATGACCTTACTGTGTGCGGTTGCCCAGTCAGGTTGTTCTTTTTAGGCAGGCTATGTTTAGGGCACCCTTTCAATCCCCCTCCCCATGTGGGGTGAGCAGAGTGAGTCCTCGAACGGGCTGCTCAGTCGCAGAGACAGGACCTGATTGCACTGCTGTCTAGATCCCAGTGCATAAACGACCATCTTATCTATGCCGCCCATGTGCAGAGTTGTGACTAGAGACTCCCGGCAGTTATCTCTGCCTGTCCCCGTCGCCACTCTTCCGCCGCCAAGGGACTTTTGGGGTATAGGGGTTTTGATGACGATGAAAGGTATGATGAGCTGGATGATGGCTGCACGTAAGTTGATTTATGTGGTGAGGCAGGAGCGCAGGCTGCAACCATACATCTTGGCTCTCCTTTTTCCTGATCCAGCGGTGCAAATGTAGCAACGACGGGGGAGCAGGAGAGTTGCAATGAACTGCCGAGAGGAAGCAAGCAGTGCTTGCACCTTAACATAAACAAAACGCTGCCACACATAAGACGCATTACACCACCCTGTCTGCACACACACACACACACACACACACACACACGCATAAGCACACACATACGCATACGCACACATAAGCACAGACACACGCATAAGCACACACACACGCATAAGCGCACGCGCGCGCACACACACACACACACACACACACACACACACACACACACACACACACACACACACACTCACTATGACCGTTTATTACTTACATCAGAGAGGAAGAGGGTCATGTCACACATACATCATTAACAATGACCATAATTATCACAAGAGGCAACAAGTGATGTGAACTTTAATGAACACAGGATCACCCTCCTCCTCTCAGGCAGTGAATGCAGGAGCGGTGTACTGAGGGAGGGAGGGGTGACATGTAAAGCTTTACCTTGAGTGTTTAAATTTTATTGCACAAGGTCAGCTGTAGCACAGGTGTGACGGTGTGATAGTCGCTGTAGCACAGGTGTGACGGTGTGATAGTCAGCTGTAGCACAGGTGTGACGGTGTGATAGTCAGCTGCAGCACAGGTGTGACAGTGTGCATAGAGCTAGCTGCGGTGTGATAGTCAGCTGTAGGTGAAGGTGTGATAGTCAGCTGTAGCACAGGTGTGACGGTGTGATAGCAGGCTGTAGCACAGGTGTGACGGTGTGATAGTCAGCTGTAACAGGTGTGACAGGTGTGATAGGTGTGACAGCTGTAGTCAGCAGGTGTGACAGCTGTGACATAGCAGGTGTGACGGTGTCAAGCATGTAGACGGTGTGGTGTAGAGGCACAGGTGTGCGGTGTGTGCTGTGTTCAACGGTGTGATAGTCAGCTGTACGGTGATAGTCAGTAGTGTGAGTTGCACAGGTGTGACGGTGTGATAGTGATGTAGTTGAGCTGTAGCACAGCGGTGATGGTGTGTGTGATGTGAGTCAGCTGTGGCAGCACAGGTGTGACGGTGTGATAGTCAGCTGCAGTGTGACGGTGTGATAGTCAGCAGCACAGGTGTGACAGTGT